TTTTTGAGGGCTTCAACCATGTGTAGCATTTCAGCATGTCGATGATCCAAATCAGCTCGCAGTTCCTCTGTTTTTTCGAGAATTGAACGCAGATCCAGCTGTTGAGCAGCTAGGTCTTCATATTGTTCCTGCCAGTCTGGATTTGCAGGATCAACAGCTTTGCGTGGTCCCATGGCTTGGCTATGATACCAAAATTGGTATCTAGTCGACAATTGGGAAGAGATTTGGAAGAAGAAGACAGAAAATAAAGGAAGAAGCAGCAGAGAGGAAGAAGAATGCAGAAGAAGATAGAACTGAGAGACGGAAATTTTCATTGATATTCAAAAAGTACCTAATGAATGATTACAACTGGTTATTTATACTCCTCAATGGTCTACTGAAAATGTAAAAATCAAAGCAAGAGAATCGCTAGGAAATGAACTAAACATGCTAACTACATTTCCCGCCACTAACTAATATTCAAATTTTAACTACAACTAACATAACTAACTTTCAAGTGGGCCTACTCCTCAGCTGCTAACGTGGCCTCATGAACTCCTGCTGAGTTTTGTGTATCAGTGAAAGAGGTGGGGTTTTGTCCGTTAGTTTTCTAATGGAAGTGGGTATTTTCTGTTACTTAGACTAAATATGCTCATATTTGCAAACTTAGAGGACAAATAGTGCTCAGAGTCATATTTGAAGGACAAAGTTGAACCTACTCTTAAAGATAAGGGATAATTTTGGCTAAAAATTCGAAAAACTGATGTGGCTATTCTATTCCTCTAATTATTAAAATTTTAAATTGATAAATGAAACACTTATTATAATTTAAATTTGGATACTCCGATGAATTCAATTTTTTAAAATTTGTTAAAATTTGCTAGTAGTAAATAGTAGTACTATCAAACATTTTAAATGTCTCAAAAACAGAAAGGAGTATTATAATTCATATTTTCGATAACAATCATGTTATGATTCTCGAAAGGTGATTAATCATGTTATGATTCTCGATTTCATTCTGTAAAATAAATACACATCGGCGTGCTGGAAAAACAATATATTTGCGTGAAGCAGGCAGTTGTGTTAGTTGTTGGAGTAGGTATATATATATGATTCTAAAAGTTGAGTGTCAACTCGTCCTCTCTCTCAATTTAGAAAAGTACTTTCTTTTCAAATAGTCGAAGAATAAAAATTTACAGATGTTTCAAAAGTACTACTACTATAAAACGGCTTCCTTGAATGTCACATTTTCTTCTTTGTTTTTTTTATTTATTTTCTTTTGATGATGGTGGCGTCTTGTTCCCACTTGGACTATTTCGTCGGATACCTACTACTTCTTTTTAAGATAATTGTTGAATACTTTTGCTTCCAACCTGGGCTTAGGAGATAAAAAGAAATTACTGTTATAAATATAATTATATTTATGGTGAATGTCTATATTTAGAGAGATACTGGGGTTCATTGCTTGGTGGCTAAGTCACCCTCTCCCTATAAATAGAGGGTTCTATTCTATTGTAATTCATCCCATATCAATAAGAATTCTCTCTCCCTACTTTTCTCTGCAATACTCTTCTTATTCTTTTATTATTTCATAACACGTTATCAGCACGAGACTCTAACCAATTGAGTAGAAGCTTCGGGATTGAGCATAATGATTGTCAATTATTCCATGAACTTCCTTCATGATTAAATTCTGGATTTAAAGTAAGTATTTTACTGTATTTTTCTCTTTTATTCTATACTTTGATTTTAAATACAAGCAAAGACAACAAAGTTTTATTATAACTCTAATGGAGTTTGTAAGAAATTATAACCACCTGAAGTGGTAAAATTTCTATGCCTTGCCATGATCAAATTCATGTATGATTGTGGGCAAAGAATTGAAAACCCGTCCCATTGAATTTGCTCCATTCTCATTCCCTTAAGAGAATGTGATAGCAGTATGTGATAAGTCTGAAAGAAGACAAAATTATTACTATAAATGTATCAATGGATATGGGCGTGACAATAGACGAAATTATAATCGTCATCATTTGTGGTAATGAGAACAATAAGGATTCTCAAAATAATCTTTCACTCTGTGAAAAATATTTGTCATCGATTTGACATGAGATTTTGTAAAGCACATATAGATGATTATGGTCCATTCATGATGTGAATGTGACAACATCTGATTTATGAATACATATTCATTAGTCAAAGAATATGAACGTGCTAGTGGTAGTAAATATACCACACTCACCTCTAGAAGGAGGTTTGAGATGATATAAGAAAATAATGTCATTATTATGGCATGAATGGTCATTGGTCACGTACCTATTGTACGCCAAAATATTTTGGTATTGTGATTATTAAAAGACAACAATAATGCAAGAAACAGATCTTGCATATAATTTTGACCATAACCATAATGGTATAACTTTCTCTTTAAAAGAGATATTATATGAATGTTGATGAATATGTGGTAGTACCAAATTAATTGAGAGCTCTGCAAGAGCCAATTATATTATTTTGCAGAAACACAATTGATTACCAATAAGGTATTGTGTTGTAGTAAGTCTCAAAGAAACTTATTCAGTTTCCAAAGTATACGCGAAAGCGGTTGATTATATTGAGACTATAAATAAAGGAAAGATTTAATATCTTCTATTACTACATCTTGTAGCGGGGTAATATGTATGTGAAAAGCTACCCGCTTTATTCTCCAATTTGTACTACATAAACAAAAGAATACCACAATGAAGTGGATATTTATTGATATAAAAACTCTTATCATAATAAACTTGGAGTTTATTCATAATTGCACACATCAGTATTGATAATTTATCCAGTTGGCATACTTGATTTAACCATGTTAATTCATGTATGATGTGCAAAAATAATAGAGAATTCACATGGGTAAATATTAAAGAACTAGAAAGTTCTTTACGAATTCTCTTATATTGCTTGTTCTCATTAATTAATAGATCAACTAAAATTGGGATTGAATCCCATGAATGCTGGAAATATCAAAGGTGAATATGGGCCCATTCACCTGCCATGTATACCACATAAGATGCATCTATGATATGGTTACATGTGCGATTATTAATAACCCGCAACATGGTGTTTTGCGAGGTAACTTGCTCAATAATTTAATTTAGAGCATATTTCCAGATTTTTTATTCAAGATAGTTCTTCTTGATAAGTTGGTTTACATCACAGCTGGTTTAGCAAAATAATTTATTAAGTGCCTCCACTTAATAGCTAAACAATTGCTTATGAGAACAAAGTTTTGTATATCAGTTTGATATACGTTATATACGAAAGTATATTAATTTCTCCCCTCACAAGTGGTTCATGGTCAGGAACCAAATAATTCCATCTTATTATTATTGATGTGCGGTGTATATTTTGATTATCACCATAACGCACAAAGATGGGCTCCCAAAGTTGAGGAAACAAGTTAGTTTTTCTAACATGAGGGGGAGACAAGATACAACAGTTGAGAAAAAGTTACATGGAATGAATTATCACTTGTACATCTAGATCCTCGAATAAGATAATATGAACTTGAAGTTCATAAAAGGATAATTCAGTTGCAATATATTGCAAAGCATGCCAGACGCATTTGCTGACCCAAAGAAAGTAACTATATTCTCATTGCAAATGCTCCTATTAAGTCCTAGAAGGACAAAGTCTATGGTACGCTTGAAGCGTATAGACAAGTCGGTTTCAAATAAACTTCTTGATAAAGAAGATGAGCAAATGATCAAAATGATCATAATAAAGGAAGGCAAGTGATCTAGAAGATCACATGACATAACACTTCATAAAATCTCATGAGAGATTCAGGTACCTGAATATATGAATGAAGAGATCTCTATGTTATGTCTTTATGAAAAAATATTGAAACTGATATAAAATGTTTGTCGACGACATCTATGATAGCGCTAAATATATATATGAGGATCTTAAGTCTGAAGAAACAATTCGAATAGAATTGGTTTCATATGAAAGACATGTAGTTTTGAACATGTAGTTCAAATACTTGAAAGTATAAGTCAATGGTATGTGCAATCAGTTTTCGATATCTTATATGTCTAGCATGACATGAAAACTTGATATGCATCTAAAGTCTATTATATGGCTTATATAACTTACCAATCCCTGAAGGATTTAAATTGCTTAAAGCATATAAAATTCATGGTCATGAAGTACTACATCCTCAATGCAATTTGTGCACAAATGTATCTTGCTATAACTATATGCATGATGATATGATAGCAAGAGTTTTCACCTCTATGTGAAGATATTGAACTGACTGTTACAACAAGATCATATGAAGATAATCCATCTCTATCAAGAATGATGATTTGAAGGTGCAATATATTCATTCAAGTTAATATAGCCGATTTGTTCATCAAATCTCTACCAAAGATCTTTTGAAGATGGTGCACAAGATTGGAATGCAAATGCTTAAGGATGTGAATTGATGCTCTCATCAGGGGGAGTTAATACGCGTTGTACTCTTTTTCCCTTACAAGGTTTTGTCCCACTGGGTTTTCCTTGCAAGGTTTTTAACGAGGCAACCAAAAGGCGTATTATTAGATGTGTGTACTCTTTTTCCTTCTCTAGAATTTTTTTCCCACTGGGTTTTATTTTAGTCAAGGTTTTAACGAGGCACATTATCTGTTGAATAGACATTCAAGGGGGAGTGTTATAAATATAATTATATTTATGGTGAATGTCTATATTTAGAGAGATACTAGGGTTCATTGCTTGGTGGCTAAGTCACCCTCTCCCTATAAATAGAGGGTTCTATTCTATTGTAATTCATCCCATATCAATAAGAATTCTCTCTCCCTACTTTTCTCTGCAATACTCTTCTTATTCTTTTATTATTTCATAACAATTACCTAGTATTATTTTGCCTCATGCCCACAATTCATCTTTCTTTTTATGAAAACAATGCAGCTTTGCATTAGTATAATGTGATGAAATAAAAATCTCTCTGGTCTTTTTTGGGGATCAACTGGAAATGCTGTTAATTTCTAATTTCATTCCCAACTAGAAATACAATACAATCATAAGAGGAAAAAAGACGGGAAAAAGAAAAAGAGATATTGTTCACGTAACTTAACAAGGGAAACTATGAGCTAATTTACAACAATCCCAACTCATTTCACCAGTAATTGACTGAGGAAAAAACAGAGAACAAGGAATTGCAATTATATCCAGATTGCTTATAGCCTTCTGCATAGGTTACAAATATACAAAAAAGAGCGCACCATCCCTAGTTACCAATCAGATCGGAAACTTGGCCTTTGCTGTCTTCTATGTTGCCCAAAGATGGTAAATTTTCCCGAATGTTCTCTCCAAGTTTCTTGGCTTCCTGGTCTAACTTCAGTGGTCGTCTCCTCAAGCTCTGAAAACATCCAACTTTGTCAAACGGTGTCTAGTTAACATGTATAAGGAATATATTGAGATATTCATACCTCGGAAGCCCATAAGCAGTCGCTTGCTTTACGAGGAATTATATGAATATGGGTCTGAACTTGTCATCCACAAACAAAATTTGTTTTAGCATTTTTATAAGTTATTAGTATGTATTAAAGCATAAGAACTAAAGGAAAACTTTACGGTCAAGCAATTATCAAGAAATTATTTGCACCTACGTGAAAAACAACCTGGCCTGCAGCTTCCCCATTGTTGACTAACAGGTTGAATGAATCTGCATGTTTAGCAACATTTGTGAGTAAACTTATGACAATGAATGAATAGCTTTCCATGAAATATGGATAATATCCACGAGTATAAAAGTGGAGGCCCCCAACTGCTTGTACTGTGGTTTGTAATCGATTCTTTTACCAATGTATTGACTCCAAAGACATGGTTTCCTAATATATTCCAGCTCTTTTTTTCTTTTTGATAATCGTGGTATCTGGGCTAACTTGCACGCACCTCGACTAATGCAACAGGATACGTACCACCTCCCTCCAGTAACAGGTACCAAGTAACTCTATCATCAAGGTGGATAGATGGGAAGAAATTACCTAGTGTTTTTGCCTCCATTAAAATTTGAACTTGAGACCTCAAGGTTCTCAACCCACTTTATTGACTACTAGGCCACACCCTTGGGTGCTATATTCCAGCTCTATACTGTACTTGATGCATAAACTTCCTTTGTTAGGACGGAGAGTTCGGGATAGTGCAGAATCCAACAAAATAACATTATAACAACAATAATAGAAAGAATGCAAGATGATAATGATAGTAAATGCAAATAAAGGAGGCACACAATTTACGTGGTTCTGTCAATGTGACCTACGTCCACAAGAGAAAAGGAGCAAATTTACTATACCAAAAAAAAATCAGAGTAAGTACTCTAATTAACCACAAATACCCCGAGAGGAAACCTCACAAAAGCACTCACACAACTATTTCCCAAAACAAATCTTGCTCAAATACTCTCTATTACAAAAGATACTGTCAAAGTGTTTCTTGCTCTATGAATTGGTGTGTTGTGAAAGAGCAACACTTCTTTTTATAGGAGCAAAACATGGGTACCAAGCACAATTGAGAGAAAGAGAGTTGTTCCAAAATTCCTCTATCACAAAATCCATTTTTGGCCTCCAAGAACAATTGTAAGCTAGGTCTTTGTGACAATAAGGCTTATGCCTATATGATGGGATGGGCCACACTTTCGGTAAAGCCAAAATATGACCACATTACAACTCTCCACCTTAGGCATATTTTTGGCTGATATAGTAAATTTGCTTCACCCTTTCTGCAAAAGCCCTAATGGGTTAAGGGGGTGTTTGGATTGACTTAAAATCTAGTCAAACCAGCATAAAAACACTATTTGGCTTGTTTTGGCGTTTGGCAAACTTAACAAATACTTTTGCGCCAAATGCTTTTAAGCCAAAACAATTCAAAATAAACCAAAAGGCATTAGTTGATCGGTTCCAACTTATGGCATTTTAGCTTTAGCACTTTAGGTTTGGCAAAATATTTTACTTTATTATCCTTATACTTTCTTATTATTCCTAAATACCCTTCACTCTACTAACATCCAGATGCCACTCTTTCACCTTCGCTTTCACCTTCTTCTGTATTCTTGCCTTACAAAACCATCTAATCTGATAAAACCTAAATTACCAATACAAATTTGAGTTTGATCTACGGAGTTGACATTTTAGCCTTGACCTGGAGACGCATACATGTTGCTAATATTTATCGATTTTAAGGTTTATTTTGTATTTATAATAGGTTTTTTAGCGCAAGGCTTTTTTTCAAACTTAAGCCAAATTATCAACCATAACTATTCTATTACATAAATTATTTTTATTTATCAAAATGATCTCATCTAATCAGATAAAAACCTAAATTACCAATACAAATTTGAGTTTGATCTACGGACTTGACATTTTAGCCTTGATCTGGAGACACATACATGTTGCTAATATTTATCGATTTTAAGGTTTATTTTGTATTTATAATTGTTTTTTAGCGCAAGGTTTTTTTTCAAACTTAAGCCAAATTATCAACCATTATACATTTTATTAAATAAATTATTTTTATTTATCAAAATGATCAATTTAAAACTCAATTAAAGTGAACTGAGACATCACTTAATTTGTATTTGAACAAATCTTGAATTAAAAATCTTACAATAATCATTATATTTTAGTTTTACCAGATTTAAGGTCATTTTAACAAAAAAACTGCTTATTAACATTTTCTTGTCAAACACTTTAATTGCTTATTTTCAATTTCAGCACTTTTATCCATACACATAATTTCTTATTCAGCTAATTCAAACGGGCTCTAAATCTTTTTTCATAAAGTCCAATCAAATTCAGGCAAATCTTGAAATTACTGTAAAAGGCTTCAAAACATGTCAACAAGGTTATCTTTGGTATTGACAACAAAGTGGTATTTGAGTCGTATCTAACCGAATCAGTCCAGTAGCCAAAATGGTGGATGTCCTATTAGTAGGAAAGTGACACTACAAACATATAGTAGCTTTATCTACTATCGAAGCATAATATATGGCAACGATCGAGGCAATCAAAGAAGCTTTATGGTTGAAGGGTCAAGGGTCTATTTGCTAAACATAGCTAACCCTGAGGTGGTTCTACTACTATTTTATGTGATAATCAAAGTGTCATTTATTTGAGTAAAGATCAGATGTATCATGAGAGGATAAAGCATATTGATATGAAGTATCACTTCATTCGATAAGCCATCCTTGAAGGGAAGTCTTTGTTCAAAAGAATCAACACTAGAGACAACCTTGGTGACAAGTTTACGAAGTCTCTTCCAGTAACCAAGTTCAAGCTTTGCTTGTATCTGATTGGTTTTCATGACAAATAATTTAGCCCATCAGGGCTTTTGTGAAGAGGGTGGAGTAAATTTTTTATATCGGCCAAAAGTAGACCAAGGTAGAAATTTGTAATATGGCCATTCTTTGGCTTTACAAAAAGAGGGATTCATCCCATTATGAGCCCGTTTGGACTGTCTTAAAAAAAGTAGCTTTAAGCACAAGTTCTTAAAAGCACTTTTTAAGTGCTGGAGCTGGTTGCATAAATAAGCAGTTACGTGTTTGGATAAAAGTGTTGGCTGAAAACAAGTTGTTGAAATGTTTGGTAAACAAGTGCTTACCAGCACTCTTTCTATTAAAATGACTGAAATATCCTTAAAGTTGTTAACACTATAAAGAAACTTATTACTATAATATTAATTCTAAACTAATATGAATACAAAATAATTAATATTTTAATTCTTTTTCAGTTTAAACTTTAAACTGATCACCTAAGATAATTTTTATAAATAAAAATTCTTGAACTCTCATTTTTCACCACTTTCAACCATGTAAATGTTAACTTCTTTCTTGAAATTCCAAGCTTGTTGCGGAAACATATGAAATGAATATCACATTTACTTACATAACAAGGGAAATAAATGAACTAACATTTTGGATTAAGCTCTTCAATGCAACCTCCTTAATTTCAATATGAGAGACAACAACAACAACAACAAACCCAGTATCCCACAAGTGGGGTCTGGGGAGGCTATGTGTGTATGCAGACCTTATCCCTACCTAGTGAAGGTAGAGAGGTTGTTTCCAATAGACCCTCGGCTTAGAAAGAGTGAGAATAAGAAGGAGAAGAAGAGGAAGAAGACGATGGGGGAAGAAGAAGAAGAGAGAAAAGGTAAAAGGGAAAAGGGAGGGGGGGGGGGAGAATAAGTAGTACTCCCTGCGTTTCAAATTAGATGAGGTACTTTCCTTTTAGTCCGTTCCAAAATAAATGACATATTTCTAAATTTGAAAATATTCAACTTTAAACTCTTCATTTTACCCCTTTTACACTTTATGAAAAGCTTTTATAACCACAAAAATGTCATGGCCCCACAAAGCTTTTACCCCTTAACCTTTTAAGACCACAAGTTTCAAAAGTCTTCTTTTTTTTCGTAAACTCCGTACCGAGTCAAGCTACCTCATCTAAATTGAAACGGAGGGAGTACTAAATACTAACAACAGGAAATACGACAAAATTTATGAGAGGAGTTAGGCTTATTTATATACCCAAAATAAGATCGATCTGAATTGCATGATTATTGATATAAAAAAAATGAAAGTAGCATGAAATGAAAAGAAAACAATTGGGTAATACTTTAGGTAATCCCAACACGATGAGTGGCGGCACACAGAAACTAAAAGTGTGAAGCAAAACAACAGTCACTATCTGGAGAAGAACGGGAACGAAAAAGAATAAAATGAAGAAATACAAGATGGAGGAAGACGCAGGAATGGAGAAGAACGGGAAAGAATAAAGTAAAGTTGGGGTTTTGTTGTGAAGGATATTTTTGGAATAATAAAATATTATTAGGGATAAGAGGGTAAAATACTTGGTCAAAGATAGGTGGCTTTTAAGCTAAGAAAATTAAGTTGGGGTTGCCCAACTTGTTGCTTTTAGCTTATTTGGGCTTAAAAGCAGTTAGGTTAAAAGCTATTTTTAAAGTAACCAAACACTCAAACAAGCTAAAAGGTGTTTTTTAAGCTGGTTTGACCCGCTTTTAAGCCAATCGAAACACCCTTTATATAGGCATGAGTCTATTTTCCCAAAGACTTGGCTGACAATTACTCTTGGAGCCTAAAGAACGAATTTTGTGGTGGCTGAGTTTTGGAGCAATTTTTTCTCTTTCATTTGTGCTTGGTGCCCACGTTTCGCTCCTACAAAAGGAGGTGCTGCTCTTTCATTCCAACATAGCAATTCAGAGAGCAAGAAACACTTTAACAATATCAACAATTTGCCTCTCGCTTCTGTCCAACTTATTCTCTTTGTGAAATCTAGAGCTCTCTTGTCCTTTTTTTGTGTGTATAATTATGAAAGACGAATAGCATTTAGCAGATGCAAGTCATGTTATGCTTCTACCCGTGAAAAATATAAAGCTTATAGAAAGCGTGTTCAGAATCCAACAAAAGATGGCCTGCTTAATGCTAATAGCCTTATTAGCATTTAAAACCACAAGACATGAAAGACTCATTACTCAAAGACGGTGGAGAACTACATTAACAGCATATTTCCATAACCAACTAATCAAGAGCAATTAAGAGAATGATGCACTTCCCC